GGTTTTGAGTCTCTCAAGCCAGAAGTATGGTTGATTGTGGATTCTCGAAGACTGATTCATCAAGGCACAACCGTTGCACCCTAAATTTCGCCCCTAAATTTTTCAGTCGCACATTCATACCATATTTTGTCACTTGGTCACAATCATTAGTAAATACCTTCATTCATCGCATTTTGCATCATTAGTCGTATTTAGGTTGACCAGAAAAAGTCAGTTTAAATCAAAGTTTGCATCGTCTTTCAGTTGTAAAATACCCGACATTTCATTTCATTCATTTTTATTTGTTTACCATTTCTTGCATTGCTCCAAGTTGTTTATATGTCAATAATAAAATATTTCGGTTTTATAGACAGACTGTTAAAAGCGATTCGACACTATGCGAGAAAGTAGCGAGAAAATATTTCAAGTTTTCACCTTTTACCGATCATTTTATGAATCTGCGCTTCGCGTAGATTATGACGGTATGCTCGCTTTATTTTTCGGTACAGTTCGAAGTCTCGTTTTAACCTTAAACGTCTGTTTAGTCTGATATTTTCATTATTATTTTATTTTTGATTTTTGACTTCTTGAATATTTTTTCTTTAATCTTTGTGACATGCAGATTATTTTAATGTGTTCATTTTATTTTTTCGGATAAATTTTCGTCCGTTCTTTTATCGTTTTCGATCATTTTGGGTCTTTATTTTTTATTCATAAAATATTCAAAAAAATTATTTTAAATTGAGTTATTTTTATAATTTCAGGTTTTATTTTATTTTTGTCATTCAGGGATTTTTTGGTCACAAAAAATATTAATTAGGCTTCGCTTAATTCTCATTGGTCGATAGCATAGTTTGCGGATTGATAGAGATTGAATTCTCATTGGTCAAAAGCATGGTTTGCGGATTGATAGAGATTGGATTTATATTGAACGGCTTGGATTTATTTTGAAATCATAATATTTCTATTCTTTTTCTATTTAAAGGCTTCATTTTTTATTTGTAAAGGGGGAGAAAACAACAACAAAAAAAAAAACACCAACAGTAACATTTTGAACCCCATCTTCTTTTTCTCCAACACCCTGGCATTTATTCCCTGATATGCAAAAAAAATGTCAACAACACAAGTGGCTTCTCGTTCTGAATTGCTTCCACAACACAACAGATAACCAACCTGCATGAGTCAAGAATCCACCAACTGACTCGTGACCCATTATCTTCATTTGTGGAGCCCAACTAGTGCATACCACTCCAAACCCTTTGGTTCGTTCCTCAAACCCTTCTGGAAATTCCAACACATCCTTGTCCATAGATCCACGTTGAACTCTAAGAACCCAAAAGAATGGAAGCTTTGATTTCTCCAACCCCAAAGCTATCTTAGTAACTTCTTCTTGACTTGGTTTTGCTTCGCTACCGAAAGCAACATATACCACTGTGCCACTTTATTGCTTGTCCAACCACTCCTTCATCCCCCATCATCATTGGACGGCGATGGGCCCGGTATATGGATGGTATCCGACGCCACCACAGGTGCCGGCGCCGTTTGTGGAACATCAGAAAACTGTTACTATTAGGAATGATGTTAATATTAAGAAGGAGACACTGAGGATTGAAGCTGATGAGGAAAATCCTGGGCAGTTTCTTGTTAAGTTTACTTTTGATGCCACTGTTTCCGGAAGCATCGCGGTACTTTTCTTTGCAAAAGAAGGCGACGGGTGTGTCCTTACCTCGACAAAGGAAAATGTTCTTGTACCAGTTATCATAAATTTTCAGCAAGGTCTTGGCCAGAAGTTTAGACAGCCAGCTGGAACTGGTATCAATTTCTCAATGTTTGAGGAATCTGAGCTATTGAAAGTGGGCGACTTGAACGTCTATCCTGTAGCAATTAAAACAGATGCATCTTCCGGTGCCGAGGATGGATCAAACGAGACTCCTAAATCTGGCAGCAAAACAAACACAAGCAACAACAACGTCCAGCCTCAACCGTGAACATCCCTCACCGACGCACATGCTCAGCTCCGCGAACTCGCATCAGCCGTCCTCACTCTGCCATACGCAAACGCACAGCATAATCCCTTCTCCTTCACAAAAGGCCACTCCGCCTCCTCCGCCAACCGTTGGTCATCACCGTTTTTGATCGGGTATTTTCTCTCTGATACTTTGATGCTTGATTGATTTTAGATTGAGCAGAGAGTTTAAATGCATGTTACATTTTCATGAATTGTGTCCACCTTTTTGTAGTTTTTTTTTCTATTCTAGAACTGGTTTGGGAGTTTTGGATTTCTGTCTGGTACATTATTTTTATTGTCTTTTTAAATATAAGACCAATACCATGTTATTATACTGTCTTTAATTATCTTGCTGTCTTCAATTTTTATCTGGGTATTTTTCTTTTCATTTGATTTAGTTGTCAAGAATGGACATGTAGATTTTATCGTGGTATTTCTCTTTTCATTTAGTTGTCAAAAAAAAAATATAAAAAAATATTAGTAAATCCTATTTAGATTTAGTTTAGTATTAAATTTTTTTTTTAATTAGTTTAGATGTATTTTATAACTTTAAAATATTTAGAATTATGATTAATAATTTTAGAATCTTAATTTAATTAGATATAAATTAGTAATGTTAAAACCTTTAATTAGTTTAGGTATATTTTGATAACTTAAAAATTTTAATTTGTTTAGATCTATTTTATAATTTTAGAACTTCCAATTAGTTTAGATACATTTTGATAACTTTAGAATTTTAATTTAATCTTAGAATTTTTAATCTTTAATTTAGAATTAATTTAGTTTTGACTTAAGTTAGTAATTTTATTATTAATATAGTTTAGGTTAACTTAGTAATTTTATAATGAATTTAGTTTATACTTAAACTAGTTTAGATGTAATTTAGCAACTTTAGAATTAATTTAGTTTAGACCTAATTCAGTAATATTAGAGTGTTAATTTATTTTAGATTTAATTTAATAACTTTCGAATTTTTGTTAGTAACTTTAGAGTTTTAATTTAGTTAATAACTTCAAAATTTTATTTAATTTAGTTAGACACTTTAGAATTTAAGTTTAGTTTACTTAGTAACCTTAGAATTTCAAATTAGTCTAGATAATTTTTTAATTACACTTTTCTTTTATTCATGATTCTTCTTTGTCCATTCATTTAGTTTCTTACTATTTATCTTGTTATCTACCTTGTTCGTTTCTCGTGGATTTTAACTATTTATGATTTCTTACTCGAACATTAGATCTACCTACTTATGATTAATTCCAAGGGAAATGTTTCAACTCAATTGACTTCACGTCATCAAATACATCTTCTACAATCGTGCGAATAGCCTCATTCATGTTTTGCTTGCTTACTATTTTTCCAAACTTAAGACAATTTTCCCAAAAGACTCCACTTTCAAACTCACTCCTTTTAAGTCAAAACTTCGACACTAGGTCGTTGTATCTTCAAAAATCTCGTCCACGCCTTTTTTTAGCCAAACGAACCATTTTAATCAAACAAACAATTTTAACCAAAAACAGATATTTCAAAAGGTTCCTGCGGAGTACCGCAGATGCATTGGGTGCTAATACCTTCCCATTGTATAACCAACCCCCGAACTCTCGATCTCTTTTCAAAACGCATTGTATTTTCATTACTTTTAAATTTTACTTTACATTGCATATTTTAGGGTTTTATTTCGCTCTTTTCCCTTTTCCCTTGGAAACAATAAAGCGCGGTGGCGACTCTTGCTTTTGCGAGTCAAGTTAATTAATAGCTTGATCTCCGATTTTCACCGCTACAATGATCAATACTCTTTTTGGACTTTGTGTGTTGATATAAATGGAAGGAATCCCAAGGTCTGATCGATAGGCTCTGATACCATATTAGAGTTTGTCCTAACTCATCCTTACAAAACCCGCTTGTAAGGTGAGGGGTGTGACTCTATTAAAACTCTTCCAATGCTCTATCTCCAACAATTCTGAGACTATGGATTTTCTCAATATATTTAAAAAAAAATAATATAAATTTGATCTTTTAGTATAAAATATTAAGTTAACGGTTCGATTATCACTCAAATACAATAATAAAAACTTTTTTTATAATGTTATCTAATGGTGAACATGTCTTTTTATTGTGTTGGAGGGTTGTGTGGATTGTTTTTGTTCAATTTTCTTTGTTATAAGGAATATGAAAGTGTGTTAGTTAATAGTCTATGACCACTGTTATATTTTTGTAATTTGAATTATAACTACTAGAAATGTTCTATTGGATGATTTAATTTTATCACGAGCAATATTGTATTGATCTTGATCATTTGAGGACTCACCATTTTCCTTACTTTTCTCACCTTTCCAATTTCCTTTGTCTTTACCATTCTTATTCCAATGACCACCATTGTATCCACTAGCATGAGTAAAAAATATTGTTCTTGTATCTTGTCTTCCCTTCTCTATTCATGGGCTTTAAGATAACTCTCATGTCCGTGTGGAGCTTCTTGTGCCTTAGTTGCATTTTCAAAAAACATTGAGATGCCTAATTGCACAATATCAAGGACATATTATTCCAAATATAACATTCATGTTCTCACACCATTGGTTTTAACTATTACCATCCAGAATTGGAAGACTGTCAAGGAAAGAATGGGATAAAACACCCATGATTCACAAAAATACAACAATGAAATGGAATTGAAGTAATGATATTGATACAAAAAAGATGAGAGTAGGATATCTATGAATAACAATTCTTATAGGTTAAGAGAGGTGTGTATTACTCAGGTACACATTTGAGGGTGGGGCAAGACATTTTTCTCATCTTCAATATGCTGACGACACTCTAATCATCGACAGAAAATGTTGGGTAAACATTTGGTCTATCAAGTCCAATCTTATATTTTTTTGAGATAATGACGGGGCTGAAGTTTAATTATCACAAAATTTTATTGATCTAGATAAATATCTCTCACCAATGGCTCGAAGAAGAGGCAAAGGTGAGAAAATGCAAATTAGGATCTCCATTTTTCAAATATATCAGGATGTCGATTGGTGCTAAATCAAGAACAAAGTCGATGTGGCATCCAATTATAGACAAAGTGAGATCCAGAGTGTCGAGGTGGAATAACAAGCAAATATCAATTGGTGGTCGAGTTGTTGTTATAAAATCGGTCTTGTCAGCACTTTCAATCTACTTTTACTCTTTATTTAAGGTTTTGTCAGGTATCATCTTCAAACTCGAATCTCTCTTTAAATAATTTCTATAGGGTGGGAAAGAGGAAGGGAATAAAATAAACGGGTTCAAATGGGATAAGGTGTGCAGGCTCATTGAAGAGGGGGGTTGGGCATTAAGAATTTGAGGGCTTTCAACATAACTTTGTTAGGAAAATGGAAGTGGAAACTAATAAATGAAATAGAAGGGTTGGGGTTCAAAACCCTAGTGAATAGATATGGTGAGAGAGATGTATATATTAGAAAGAGTGGGAATGGATCATATTTTTGGTGGCACGACATATGCTAACTAGATAAGAAAAATGACGATCTCAATTAGGGATGGTTATCTTCTTGATTAAAAAAAGGTAGTTGGTGATGGTAACGACACAAACTTCTTGAGTGATTGGTGGATTGGCAGAGGGAAACTAAAAAACAACTTTGGGAACCTATTTACCTTGTCCTTAGACAAAGGGAAGAAGATCAATCATGTTAAAAGAAGAGAAAATGAAGTGTTGGCATGGAATTTAAAGTGGAATAGTGACTTGAGGAGGGAGAAAGTCAGTCCTTAAACGAGTTAGAAAGCCTTTTAGAAAATGTGGAGTTGACAAATGGGGTGAAAGACAAATAGGGGTGGGTATGAGGCAATTCAAATGCTTATAATGTTAAGGAAGCATATAGGGTTTTAATTTTTGAGTTACCTTGTGAGCCTAACTGAAATTGGTTGAGAGCTTGGCATAAATCAATTTCGTCAAACATGTCTTTGTTGGCGTGGAGATTATTCTAAGATAGAATTGCCTCTAAAATTAACTTAGTTGGGAGAGGAGTTCTTAGCCAATAGTATACTCGCCGCATGAGTGGTTGTGGAGAAGAAGAATCAATGATGCATCTCTTTTTTTAATGTCTGATTTTTTAGGTATTTAGAGTAAAATCTACAACTGGTTCGGATTTAAAATTGCCTTTCATAATGATAGTTTAATGCATTTCGATCAGTTTATGGGACTGATTGTTAGTGGAATGAAGTATTCTCATTATGTATCAATGGTATGGTTTGCTTATATTTAGATCATTTGGAAAACATGAAATGGACTAATTTTTTGCAATATCGAACTATGTTTGGATAATATGCTCAATTAAAGGAAGTCATCATCTTGGAAGTGGTTGAGAATCAGAAGCAACATCATGTGCTATATTTTATCTCATTGGTGTTTGAATCCACATGCATGTTCTGGCGTGTGGGACTATTAATTGCGAGAAACTCAACGATTCTATCACAAGCCAAAAGGGAGAATACAGTCGTAGCCCAATTTAGTTTCTGGAGTTTGTTATTGCTTGAGGTTTTAGTGGGTAGAATCAATTTGTGGCCCCGAGTTGGAAGCCTCGTATATGCTTAGGTGTGTAGAGACTGACATGTTTCCTCATTTCTGTCTTGGTGATATTGTGAAGTAGCTCAATATTTCTGGGTTTTATTAAGGTAAGGCTTGATCCTATCATTCTATTGTGGCTTTTGTTAGTAGCAGATTGATGTAGGCATTTCTTGTATGTATGTGCAACAACATTTGTTTTAGGTATTTTGGTGAATTTGCAGCAACAAGTGTATGCACTTTTCTGGTTTTAGGGTGCGGTTATTGTCTTGAGTATGGCATGTGTTTGTAATGAATTTTTTAGATTTTAGCACTTCTTTTTCTCATTTAATTTAATACATTTTGGCTTCTCCAAAAGAAACTATTTTTTATTATTATTGAATGCTTTTTACATTTATGAATTTCTTTGTGAAGTGGTCTTTTAGATTGGCTGCATTTTTGCAAAACAACAACATAGAGAAGTGTTCAAAGTGTTTAAGTTGATCTAACCTGCTAAAGCTATAAGAAGGTGTATAAGGGACACATAATGGACACGATGTCCAAATATGCTACTATGACATTTGGGCCTTGCGCATCAAAACTTTGTTGCTTCATTTCGAAAGATTATCCGATCAAAGATTGGATTAGATTTTATTGTTATTAAGTTAACACTATGATTTTATGATTTGTTGGGTAGCTCTGAAGATCAAATAAAATTTAAATTGATTTAAATTTGAATTTGTAGCAAGCCAAATCATATCTTTTTGTTGGAGATATTTAAGGAGCAAATTAAATATCCAACTGAATATGCATTATTTCTGGATCAAATCAAATCAAATATCCATAAAGAAAATCCCAGAAGAATTTCTATATAAGAAGCACACAACCTGCTTTAAAATTTAAGCATTCAAGTATTCATATTGAATATTTTCAGAGTGTTAGGTTTTGTGTCTTATGCTCCACACTAATGCCCCAATATGATTAGTGTAGAATCTATATGTAAACCTATATGTTTCAGTAACTTGGCATAGAAGGTTTGTCTAGTTGATTTGTAAAATTCAACATCATTCATCTTGTTGATTGAAGTTGATCACTAGGGTATAATGGTTGCAATATCCTATCACAGGTTGTGTGATAGAGAAATAAAGTCATTGGATTATCAAATTTAAGGGGAGACTCTAAATAGAAAGTCATTGGGTAGTGTTAGGAAGAGGCATTGAACAACATGGACTTTTTCTTGCTTGTAAGTGTAAATGTACTAAAATACTAATAGTGAATTTCCTTTCTTGGGGTTGTGGACTCAACCCTTTAGACGTAGGTGTGGTTTCACTGAACTGGGTTATTAATGACACTCTATCATTACATAGATTATTTTGAAGAAACAGAGAAAATCAAGCCAAATATAACTTAGTTTCATTAAGAATAGCCCAAGAATGGAGTAAATTGGACAAAGTATGAAGAAATAAAGACTTGAGAAAAATTTGGCTGAAAAGGTCTAAGAGCGTGTAAACATTGTAAAAATCGCGTGCGCATCGCACAGCATCGCGCGCGTAATACGGAAGGACAGAACATGTGTCAGCTTCTGGATTTGTCACGCAAGCTTCGTGCCCAGTCGTGGACGCGATGGTCCTCAACATGTTGCATCGTGCGTGCGATGCAGCCCATCGTGCGCGCGATGGACCTTTTTCTAGGTAATTTGCTGACGCATTCTGATGCCCAGTGACAACTTTAAAAGGGGGGGGGGGGGGGGGGGTTGGCACTTTTTCAAGGTTTCTTCAATTTTACACTAAAAGGGATAATTTACAACACCATGAGTCATATTTGGAGTGCATTTGAAGCCATTGGAGGCCAGTTCTTCAAGGGTTAACTTATGCAAACCTCTTATTATTATTATTGTTATTATTATTATTGTTATTATTATTATTATCATTATTATTATTATTATTATTATTTGGTATTGTAATTTATTCATTATGAATAGCTAAATCTCTTTAGGTTATGTTTTCTATGATGAACATATTTTAATTGCTGTTGGGACATATGTTTGATTTGTTATTGCTTGAATAATTCGAGTTATAATTCTATTAAATTGCTTCTTGTTTGTAATGCTTTTATGTGAAATACTCTTTTAATCTGATTTTGGGCACATAGGGAATATTGACCATTAGTCTATGTGTTGGATCTATGGCAACTTTCATACTTATGTCGGTTGAATAGGAATAGAAGGCCTCGAGTAGTGGTTTATGAATTAATGTACTATTGCACAACCTAATCTTGCTTACGCTGGTGGACTATGTATAGTAAATTCTGAGTATAGATTAGTGAGCTATACACCAAGGAATTAGGTATAGTGGTTTTGTTAATTCACCACGGAATTATAGCAATGATATCATTCATGTAATTCATCGAACATTAACATGAAAGACATAGGGGCTTCAAAATAAAACCTAATCGCTTTCGTATTATTGTCAGAATAAACGTTTAATATTTTCTCCTTAAAACTCGAAAATTCCCCATTTTATATTTAATTTAATTTGCACAATATTTATCTTGTAAAATAGTAGTCCCTATGGATCGATATTTTTATTACTACGACATTATCGGTACAGTTTATGATAAGTCATCAAGTTTTTGGCACCGTTGTTGGGGACTGTTGATAATTTCAACAAGCCAATGCATGTGCAACATTTTTGTTTTATTTTTATTTTTATTTTCTTATTTTCTTATTTTTTATTTTATTACACACTACTACTAAGGTGTTTTGTTGGTTTTTTGTGCATCTATGATGTTGAAGTGAAGAACTGAAAATCATGGTAAACATACCACCACCCCAAACTATGGGGGACTACTGCAAGAGAATGCATGCAGGGAAAATCTCTAGAGATTTTGTATCCGCTGACCCTACTAACTTTTGTTAGAACATAGTTTGATTCTACAACCCTCAGTTAGAGTTTTGATGATAACAAAATACAAGATTAAATAAATTGTAAGATTTATATAAGATATATATGCTACTTAAAATCATGTTGTGTATTTACAAAAACTCTGATGGAATCAACATCAGAATATCAGTATCAACATCAGCATCAGAAGATTTATCAGCATCAGAAGATCAAATAACATGTGCTATACGCTGAAGCCCGATGAACAAAATCTGCGCATAAAATACTCTGACTCTGATCAAGATCCTAACCAAGTCATCAGCACTCAGAAGCGTCAACATAAAGGAAAGAACACTCTGAAGCGTTACTATGCATTCAAGACAGATTAATTACCAACGGCTTTATTCCAAGACAAGATCTTCTCAAAAAGGAAAGAACGTTATTAGCATTGAAATGGCTTTATGGACAACAACGTATCTCTTCCCATGCTATATAAACAAGTCAGTGTGAGAAAAGAAAAGGCTAATACTCTACACGCATATACACGCCTACGTAAACAAACTCACTCATACAGTTTGCTAAAGCTTTCAACCACGCCTACTCAAAAGCATTAGCAGTCTAGTTTCATTCTAAGCTTAATATTGTGTAATATCACAGTTGTGATATATAGTTTTGTTAGAAAACATCAACACACACTTTTGTTCAATTATCTGTAAGAGAATTTCCTTGAGATAAACCGGTATGTGGTTAGACTCAAGAAGGCTTTAACAGTTGTTAAAGTAGTTGTTGTATTCAGTTGAATATAGTGGATTAAGACCTCATTGGAGAGAGGCGAAATCACCTTGACGGGTGGACTGGAGTAGTTTGAGATCAAACGAACCAGGATAAAAATAACGTGTTGTCTGCACTTTTGATTTTAAGTTTTACAATTCAACCCCCCTTCTTGTGTTTTTCACATCTTCAACTTTGATATAAAAAATTATGTTCTTTCAGGTTTACGCGATAATCCTTTTGATAGGAATGCAATTTGGGATCCATGTGTAGACCAACTGGTGTCAATGAAGATCAAGAAAAGTTGGGGTTGTTTGGATTCTCATTGATCGACGGGGAGAATGATTGGTTGTTATGCCTCCCTAATGGTACTATTGGAACATGGGGAGAGCTAGAGGAAAAATTCCTTGAAATATTCTTTATCACTGCACAGTTCACTAAAAGGAAAGCCAAAATCATGAATTTAGAGTAACAAGATACTGAATCTCTGTATGATACTTGGGAAAGATTTAAACTGTTATTACGCAGGTGCCCAAATTATAACCCGAACAACATGGATAAAATGCAGAGTGTTAACAAAGTTCTCTAACTGCAAAAACGCATGTTGGTAGATTCTTTTGTGGGAGGCACCATCAGGTCAATTAGTGAACCTCAGGTAAGGGAGTTGATTGAAAAAATGTGTTTGAATGAATACCGATCAAAAAGTTAAAGAGCTATTAAGACTGAAGCTACATGTACAACAAAAGGTATAATAACTTTAGATGCTTATATCTCTTATTAGCTCAAATTGAATTGTTAAATAAAAGGCTAGCTGAAAGCAATCTAAATCAAACTAACATAAGTCAGATACATGCACAAAAGTGTATTTTTGTGAAGGAGGACATGAAAAGAGAACGTGCACCATAGAGGGCTTTACCAAAGAAGCTGAGCTTGCAAATTTTCAGAGGAATAATCCATATTCCAACACCAATAATCCAGGTTGGAAAGATCACCCAAATTTCAAATGGAGCAATAGTCAAATTCCATCCACAAACCACAATGCTCAACAAGCCCTAACTCAGAGGAAACCATCCCCTCTAGAAGAGACTCTGCAAAAATTCATTCTAGCCACTCAAAATAGTTTTAAACAGATGAACAAACAACATGAAACAATGATTAAGAACCATGAA